TTGTCTATCTTTCTATGTATTTGTGGATTCTGTCCACAGGCTTTGGGATTATTGTTTTCTTATTTCTATTATCTGCCCCTGGTGGATGAGGCTGGACTAGAGGCTTATGCAGGTTTCCTGGCAGGAGGAGCCTGCCCACTGCTGGGTGGAACCTGGTCCTGGACCTCTGGTGGGTAGGGCTGTGTCTAGAGGCCTTTGTGGCTTAGGAAGTCTGATGATGGGTGGGGCTGTGCTCCCACCCTGTGCGTTGTTTGGCCTGAGGCTTCCCTACAGGCTGTTGGGTTGGGCTAAGCCTTGGTGCTAATGATCCAATCAAGATGTCAGCCTCCAGGAAAGCTCATGTAGATTAACACCCCTGGAATATCTGCCACCAGCTTTTATGTTCCCTAAGTGAGCCGCAGCCATCCCCTGCATCCCCAGGAGGCAGCAGGCAGGTCTGGCCCAGGTTCCTATGAAATCACTGCCTCTGCCCTTGGACCTGGTGCACGTGAATTTCCATGTATGTTTCTCAAGCAAATTGGGTCTCCGTTTCTCCTAGTCCCATGAGGCTCCCAGAGCCAAGCCCCCCGTCCCCCAAAACCAGATGTCCTGGGGTCTCCCTCCCTTCCCAATGCCAGGACCCGAGCTGGGGAGCCTGACGTGGGTTTAGAGCTCTCACTCCTGTGGGAGGGCCTCTGCGACTTAACAAATCTTCACCTTGTGGGTCGCCCACCCAGGGGGTATGGGGCCCAATTATATCGTGAGCATGCCCCTCCTACCACCCGGCTGTGGTTCCCTCTTTATGTTTCCAGTTGCAGAAGATCTTTTTGCTAGGTTCCAGTCTTTTTCGATGGTTGTTTAGCATTCAGTTGTGGTTTCATTGTAGTCGCGAGGAGAGGCAAGCTCGTGGTCCTACCACTCCACCATCTTGACTCCACAGTTCATTTCTTAGTTCAGGAACATAGGTCAGTGACAAACTTCCACGGAACTCCACCCAAAGAAATTCTTTACATTCCAAAATGACTTTGTACTCTGAAAGATATCAGCCTTCCTCGTCTCCTGAAAATCTTTCATGGAATCATAATTTCTGTGGAAATCGGCATATGCCTTCTTTCTTTGTTCAGTCAGTGCAAACTTATAGAAAGCTGCATCCCCCAGGGATATAACAAGTGCTCCAATAATATGAAATGACAGATGCTTGGCAAAAAGGCCACACATCTGAGGTGTTGTTAGAGAACTGAAAACCATGGTACATATTCTCAACACCAACATCCTTCCGGACTTCAAAGTTTATTTTAAGTACAGGGAAACTGTATAAAATTGTCATAGAAGTAAAAAATATTAAAATGGAATTGTTAGAATATTAGTGTAAGAAGCCATTTCACTCTTGACACAATTGTTTAGAAAGGACTGCTTCACCAGCTTTATAATTTTAAAAATGTTTTTTAAACACCCAGTCAGAAGAAAGTCACTTTCAGTATTACAGAGTTCTTTACTATCGTGCTGATTCACCTGTGCTTTGGAATCTTCATAAAACACTTTCTTTTGGACCATATTTGATTGCTAAGAAAGTTTAAACATTGCTTTCACTGCAATATAGAAATATTGTTGCTTGGTTTTTCTTTCAGTGCTACCATAATAAAACTCATTTTTCATTTAAAAAAAAATCCCATAACAGCAGTACTCATATTAGTGTTTGACTGAACAACCAGAAGACTGGAATCTTGAAGGAGCACATTTAGAAGCCTGCCTACCACAGACGCC